GGAATTGAACTCAAGACCTCTAAAAATGCAGACAGTGCTCTTCACCGCTGAGCCATCTCTCCAGCTGTGAATACGTTATACTCTGAAAGATAAGCCTGGATAGGGTGAATGTATCCTCCATGCATCGGCCTGACTATACAACATAACAAGTCCTCGCTTTGTAACTGCAGTTTTTATTTTTAGGTTTTGGCTATACTACAACTTAAAAGAAAAGAAAAAAAAAAAACTGGCTTCAGTTTTCAGAAATAAAGTTGTAGCCACAGTTGAGAGATAATTTCATCCTGTCCTTTCTCTCCATTACACTGTACAGATGAAAGAAAAAGAAACACTAAAAACATGACAGAACAAATTGTCTTGTGTAAATCAGTCGGAATAGATGAACAGGAAGAGAACTTGGGGCATAGATGAAAGCACTGACTGTTCCCCGCCTTGAGAGAACCTGGCATGTCTAAAGACAACCCAGAAGGCATGCCAGGAGTCTCCGGCCACCACACTGTGTTTGCACTAACCAACAAGTGTATTCAATGCAGACGTCTCTGAATACTGTCATGGATGCTTGAACTTTGACATTTCTCTTACCCTTTTTTTTTTTCCAACAGCGGACTGAGTTAATGTAGACCATTTTAAAAAGGAGTGTGGGCAAGACACAAGTGAAACAGTGAGCCGACCTCACACGTGCTGTGATGCAAACTCCTATCAGGAGGGTAGAAGGTCCAAAAATTATCTTTTCAAACTTAGTGGCCAGAGTGACATGACAACCTCTATTGTTCTTAAACATGTACGAATGTTTTGCTGGCACATAGATAGGTGCACCACATATATACAGGAGCCTGTGGGGGCCAGAAGCAAGCATCAGATCCCCTGCAGCTAGAGTTACAGGTGATTGTGAGCTACTATGTGGGTGCTGGGACTTGAACCCAGGTCCTCTGCAAGAGCAGTAAGTACTCTTAACTGCTGAGCCTTCTTTATAGCTGTACTTAATATAAATTTTTTACAATATTAGGCAGCAACTAGATCTTATTCCACCAAAACCCTTATAGAAATGAAATAGTTGATCTACTTGTTCATGATTATATGATCAAGGAAATATCAAAATGACCTGATTAATACAAGCTTACAGGCATATCAGGTGTAACAAGAAAAATAATATATAAAAATGGGCTTTCTAGTTTTTCCATGTATTTATACTCAAATATTTGCAGTTGTGTTCTCCTAGTAAATATACATACAACTCATTTTATTATGGGTAGAGATTAGGAAGTAAAAAAAAAAAGAAGAAGAAGAAGAAGAACAGGACCTATTTAAAAACAAACAAACAAACAAACAAACATATTTTCCTTTAATAGAAACAAAAGTGTTTAGGACCAGTTAATTCCTTGTATGTTTCTAAGACTAGGAAACAGTGGCATTGTTTGAGATACAGGATTTAACAGACAGAAAACTAAGAATCATTGTCCTGAAAAACCTCTCAAAACTGGGTTAAGGCTGGAGCAATGTCTTTGCTCTGTTAAGAGCACTGGCTGCTCTTGCGGAGGACCTGGGTTCCGTTCACAGCACAACCATCTGTAACCCAAGTTCCGGGGGATCTGACGCCCCCTTCTGGCTGCCACGGGCACTGCATGGATGTGATGCACTGACATACATGCAGGCAAACCACCCACACATATAAAGTAAGTAAATAAACCTCTAATAAAATGTTAAGTGGGACATATGGTCCTTCTACAGCTCAGTATTTATCAAGGCACACAGCATTTTGTACTGTTAGCTGATGGGATGTGGTCACAAGATCACAGGCCGTACTTCATGGGTACCAAGCACCCGTAGTGTCTCACCTGCATCAGCAGGATCCTTGGCATCCGTAGCAGATGCTCAGTAAGCCTTTGACTACACAGGTACTTAATACTAAAAGGGCTGAAAGTGCTCTTGTTTTGTTTGTTTTGTTTTAGAACATTTGGGTTTATTCTCTGGTGCTAATACATGTTAAGTTTTGAAAGTGAAAACACACATTCTGCTGTGTGACCTACACAAACAACTGTACCACTGTTGCATTTGCGAAGGCCCTGACTGTGATTTAAGATTTCGCTTTTTTTTTTTTTTCTGGCAGTATGAAATGATGAAAGCTGATAACTCAAGGTAGAGATGGTTTAGGAGGGAGAAAACACATGTAACACATATATATCTTAATGCTTTTACTTCTTAACTATTGCCTCTAATACTCAATGGCTGGGCGATTGTGTGGAAGAAAATCCTTTGAGCCCCTGAGAGCTCACCGATGAACTGATACACACACACACACACACACACACACACAAAAAAAAAAAAAAAAAAAAAAAAAAAAAAAAAAAAAAGTCACAGAATTAGAGTTTTAAGTTTGGAATGAGATAAAGTTGCCAAGCCCTTGATGTGTTGTGGGGCTCACAGAAGGGTAGGGTGGTGATCTGACTGACATTTCACCTTGCCTGTAAATTACTTCATTTGGACTTCAGGGGAGGGGTCAGTGGTGAGACAAAAGGGCATAGCAGTGACCTTAAATTTCCCCCTTAGGTTCTCCTGTCTTCTGGAAATCAACAGGGCTGATTTGTGCTCACAGTCCAGCCCGGAGATGATGGTTCTTTCAGTGGAAGACAGTTGCTGCCACTGGACAGTAATTTTATAGGGACTTCTCCTTTATACAGAGAGCATCCTAGCATCTCTGTCAATCAAACAAAACAGCTGCACATGGCTAGCTTCTGCAGGGATGAAGGGATGCCTCCTCAATCTTCTCACCCAGAAAAGAAGTTCAGTGGCTAAGGGTACTTCAGTCCCCTCCGAGCCAGAACTTTCCATATGAAAAAGAATATTGTGGGATAAACTCAGACAAAAAAGACATGAATGCTGAGTGAGGCTGAGGTCATGTGACCACACAGCTGCCTTCTCTTTTGTCCACAGACACCTGGAATGTGAGAGGTTATTGTCACTGTTGAGAAGTCTGCCCTTCCTTTAGTCTGATTTTCTTTGAACTACAGGCTTCAAGTTACAAGGAAACCAAATTTATTGATATGTTCAATAAGCGTGGGAATCCATTAGTCTGGAAGGTTGCCGATATCCACACTGGCAGCAGAATGTTCTAGCCATTCTCCCCCTCCCCCACACTTACTGAATAACATTAAAGTCCCCATTCCATCCTACATTTCCATGCAACAAAATGTGTCTACTCTAGGCTAGAAGGCCCTTCTGATGGTCAAGCTACCTCTGGATGGCCCCTTCCCAAGGGGCAGGGCAGGAACCAGCTGTCAGCACTGCTTGGAAATGTACTGCTATTGTGTTCATGGCCATTCAAATTCTCAGGGGAGTGCTGGAGCACGCCCGCTGGGCTGGTGTCTGCCACTCAAGACTACGGCAGCATGGATGCCACATGGGCATGAGGACTGGACATCGTCTTGAGGTGACAGCGGAGGCTCACTGCTGATTACAGTGTTGCAGAGGGCCACAGATGCAGGCAGGCAGAGGAGGAATTAGACACGATCCATGTTAGCAGAGAGTATGGCTTCACCTTAAGTAAATAAGCAATGACAATCTACAGGTGACTGTAGATGCTAATGTACGTAAGTAAAATGTACAACCAGTTAAAATCCTTGCCTAAGTCACGGCTATTCAATTAAAAACCAGAAATGTTGATAGACCATTACAATAGCATAGTTACGAATATGTGAGGACCAGGGAGTATGTACGCATGTTTGCAGGTGTCCGTGTTTCCTTTGTTTTAAAAGCCCATTACGCAGGCACATCTCTGATAGAGAGACGCACTCTGACCTTATGGTTAGGAATGCAGCACCAAGTTTAGTCTTATCCCTTACGGTAAATGATAGCAATTTTACTAAATAGCAAATAAAATCTCAGAAGCTAGCTTCCAGCTTAAAGTAAAGGAGCAGCTTAAATGTATTAAAGTTGTCTTAGGAGTGTTTAAAAGAGAAAAAGTACTATTAGGAAAGTATATCCCCAAAGCTGCAGACCAGAGGAAAGTTAATTATTTATCCACAGATTAAGGAGATGCAATTAATATTAAATATCCTCAAATGAAAATTACAAATGTAAGGGAGCTTCATATTTGACTAGGGGCAGAGAATTAGTTAAGCTCAGGACGCCGGAAGCCTCTGGATCTGATCCAGACTTTATAATTACGCTTCGTCTTTTAATACATGGATTTGCATACGGGTCCCATTTTATTAATTCAGCAGATCGTATCTTTGTAAAGCCTTTAAGAATTTTCCTGACTGACAAAACAAAACAGCCTGTCAGTTTAAACGAAAGAAAGTCATGTCTGGCTTCTGACAGTATTTCAACTTTAAAAGTCTCCACGAGGGTTGCATAAATGCCAGCCTTCAAACAAGGCATGCACCTCCCCCCCACCCCAACTCAAATACCCATGGAGACAAACCAGGATTGTAGTCAAGGGGCGGGAAAAGGTCAAATTACAAGAGCATTAATGTTCCCTTTTTTACAATGTCAGCCAAGGCTACACATTGACAAGAAAATTAATCTAAGAGAATTTCAGAGCTGCGGCTCGGGACGCTTCAACACAGAAGGGGTAGGCAGGGTAATAGCGTGGATACTATCCAACAAAGGTGGAGATAATAAAATAGGAGGAACAAATTAAGCCCAGAATGGTCTGACACTCAAACCATTTGCTTAAAAGGTATTCTCAGACATCAGAAAGGCTTCACGGCTGATGAACTGATGCCACAAAAAAACGGAAGGAACCACAATGGTTCTGAGACCAGAATGGTAACCACGGGAAGGACCCAGCATTAACGCTGCTAAGGTTGATTGACTTGAGATGCAGCTTCCCTTCATTACTGTTCTGTTTCCCTCTTTCCATCAATGTATCCAAGAATTCTAGTGACTCTAGAAATTCTCTACATAGAAAGTCCAAATCGCAACTTTAAACTCCTCTATAAGAAAGGCAGGTTGTCCTAAAAGCTCAGGAACAATGACATAAGGGAGGCAACAAACATTCTCACCGTCACCGGGGTCAATGATCTCCACTGTAGTCACTGTGGGGAACTCCAGGACTGCCAGCACAGGCTCAGAGAGAACCACCTGGAAGGTCTCGGAGTGCTCATGCTCCCCGTCGCTCAGGATCCTCACTCTCCACGAGGCCCTGGTCTGGCCTGGGTTGAACTGCACTTGCTTCTGAGCTTTGCCCTTGAAGTCTCTGTCTTTTTCTGCAGTCCCATCCCTCGTGCTGATGCCTGCAGAAACAATGTCATTCATTCCTTTCAGACCAACTGGGATACATTCCCTCTTCCTTTGTTTCACAGCCGGGCATCCTGCTCCACCTTACTTGCTAAGTATCAGAAACTAAGGCAAAACAAAGTTGCCTTGGAGTGTTTACCTAAGGTTCCTTTGTCTATCTCTGAACTCATCAAGGGCTGTCATTCTTAAGATGAGGATGAAGATAAAGGTTTTGTTTAAAAGCATTGATATCACAGTCCTCAGAGAAACACCGCTCGGATAAGTGCTTCGTATATGCATCTGCTTCAGGAGCTCGTAAATCATGGCTTGTTTAATGTCGAAGGATAAAGGGCCCACAGCAAGACTCCCAGCGCTGTCTGGTTGAGTTCTGCACTCCGCTCCTAGCGCACACCGAGGTGCTGCCAACACGGCTTGGGTCCCCTACAATCACCACAGCAGGAGCAACAGACCCCTGCTAGCAGGCCTCTGCCAGGGGCTGCCTGCTTGGCTGAATTTCCTTTCATCAGCAAAGCACTCTTTCCAGGATACGCAAAAGGACAGTGAAGCCAAAAAGTAATTCATATAACACAAGTCACATCCTCCAATTTTGGCCATGTTTATCAGAGGACAGCAAAGTCATCTACCTGATGAAACACAGGTCGCAATATCAGATCCCCATTGTTGCTCCCGGAAACATGGGTGCTCACTTTGTTTCTTAAACTTTCAGGTCTTCTCTTACATGGAAAAACAGCGCAGGGCTGAAGCAAGTGCTCTTGGCCTGAGAAAATGGGCTCTCCTCCCTCTCAGCCACCAATTACTAGGTTAACCGCTCTCAGGTTTGTGAGACACTCAGGTGAGGTGGTTATCAGTGTGGGCCCTGGGGCCTTGAATACTTGGGAATGTCCTATTTTCTCTCTAGGCTCACCTGTAAAGCGGAACATATAACGCTGTCTTTCTCATGGGGTTAAGATCTATAGGCTAATGTGGACTAGCCCTGGCACATGTAAGGCCGCAATATGCATTAACAAACCCATCAACAACCGGCCATTGCCTAATGTAGCACCACAGTCAGGACACAAGGTCTTGGGGAGCTGGTGAAGGAAGGGTCACAAGAAAAGAGAAAAATTGATAAAGGGCTCAGTGGGCTTAATAAATGTTTAATACCTAGCAGCAATGGAGCCATGAGATGCAAAAACTATTGTTAAATACAAATGCACATTGAGTTTATTAGTGGACCTTAAGCGTTTGTTACACACCGCAGAGATATCAGCATGACCGATTTCTGCTGCAAAGAAATGGAGGCAACTTGGATGATCACGGAAAAGGACAAAATGGGATTTCACTCGGCCATAAAGAAAAAAAGAACAATGGCGTTTACGAGATAATGTACTGGATGGAACTGGAAAACATTACGGTGAGTGAGATAAGCAAGAATCAGGAAAGAAACAGGTGTGAAATCCCGGTGTGCATGTCTGTGTGTGTGTGCGTGTAAGCTGTGGAAGTATAAAGCAGAGCAGGAGAGGAGGAAGTAGAATTCAGGTCACACGAAAAAGCAGAAAGGAGGGTTGGGAGAGGGACAGTGGTGGAAGATGAGCAAGAACAAAGCATGACACTGAGTACGAAAAACGCCATAGCAAAACCCATTCTTTATTATGTTAACTGTAAGAATTAATTTCCAAAAGCTTGCTATAGTTTAAACAGGAACTGTCCTCCTCAGGCCAATGCCTTGAAGGCGTGGGCCACAGCTGGTGGCAGGATTTTATAGGCTGCAGGGCCGGCTGGCAGAAGCAAGGCCTTAAGATCAGGCCTTTGAAGGTGATATCCCCCCTGGGGTAGGTCTAGCTCTTTCTGTTTCCTGGTCAACCAAGAAGTGAACAGTCTGGAGCCAAGGCCTCCCTCCATTCACCGCTGGCCTCTGGGGTGATCTTTTCTTCCTCTACAGGCACTCTGTGACAGAGATGCAAATGTGATTTAACTCTGGGTACAAGATATAGAGAGTCATCTTTGTGAAAATGTACCTACAAATCAGGAACTACATAAAATTTGTAGGTACTTAAGTGAGGTTCTGTCTGCAGCTTCAACACATTCTTCAAGTCCACTGGGGAAAGTGGAGGCTGTTCGGGAGCAGCATCCTCATTGCAGACCCCTGTAAGTCTGCTTCGATTTAACTGGACCTCTATTCCAGGTCCTGGCATAATGTCAGGGCCATCTTCCATGATGGCAGACATGGACATGCAGGGTCTTTCTTGTATTCTCCCGCCTCAGTTTACTAAGTAGCTATAGGAATGAACCAAGGAGAGCTATGGAGCCTGTGGTCGAATTGCTGCTACAGCCATAACCATAGCTGGTCCAAACAAATAACTTACAAAAATGCATTAACATTCTGCCGAAGAATAAAAAGCAAAAGTAGAAACAACAACAAAATAAAACAAAACAGCAGTGAAAAAAAAATTCAGACTTTAAAAATCTGTAAAAAATACTTCTAAATTTAAAAAAATTATATTAAAAAAACTCAAAAAATAATAAAATTAAAAACATTACAAAAATACTTCTGAATGCTTCATTTTCTCAGTGTCATCCTATATGAAAACTGGGAGCTCACATCATGGAAACTTGCCAATACTGGGACAAGTTGCAAATAGATGAAAACATCCCTGATGATTGCTGAGGTTCTCACCTGTGTTCAGTGCAATCTGGTCACTGTGTTCTCAGGCACAAAGCACAGTTGAGACTGACCTCTCACTGACAGTGACATGGCTATGTGCAGAGAGCAGAGCTCAGGCAGAAAGGCCAAGTCCCTAAGACAGAGAATGCTGTGAACATCTACTGCATTCTAGATTTTGTTTGTTTGTTTTGTTTTTCCACACAGGATTTGCCTGTGGAGCCTTTGATGTCTTGGAGGACACTCCGTAGATGAGGCTGGCCTGGAGCTCAGAGTTCCACCTGCCTCTGCCCCCCAAGTGCTGGGAGGAAAGGCGGGCACCACCACTGCCTGGCAGCACTCCAGAATAATAAACAGGGTCAACAGCTGTCTTGTGGAGGTGCAGCAAATGAAGGGCCAGGAGGGGCTGCCTGGGTTGAGGAACACAAGTCTCTTTTCAAAAGTTAAAATGGTTTTTTTTTTGTTTGTTTTCTGTTTTTTTATTTGTTTGTTTTATCAAGACAGGGTTTCACTCTGTAGTCCAGGTTGGCTTCGATCTCACAAGGATCTGCCTTCCTTTGCCTCCCAGCTGGTAGGAGTAAAAGCATGTGCCAGCATTGCCTGGCAGCAAAAATACTATTTTTAAAGTAAAGAATAATCACCATCCAGAGTTCAAGCACACAGGGAGAGAGCAGTGTGTTTAGTGGGGGAAACTGTTGACAGGGACCTCATGTTCACGGGCTGGCAGACCAGTGCAAGTTCAAAGGAATGGTTTCAGAGGCAACCCTTTTATTTTTGCCAGTATTTTCCTAGCTTCCTATTGTAAGTGATCACTTCCCTCCACAAAGCTCTTCTCTATTTATCAATCCTATCAAATGGATTTTTCTCAAAATGAGGGACTTAGTATTCTACACCAACCATATTTCTGCTCCACACCTTTCCCTGTTTTACCATTAGATGAAATGAAATACGACTTCAATCGAAGTTGAAGGAAGGTTTTATTCGTTTGCGCTGTTGACTAAAATTTAATAGTTTATTAAATAAGGCAGAAGAAAATGGCTAGGATTTAACATTTAACATTTTAACAAAGGAAACCCACAGCATAGACCTTAAACATAACATACTGTTCATGAAGGAACTTCCCATGAGCCACAGGGCCTTCAAACTCAGCACACAGCGAGTTGACACTTTGATGCCTAACAACTCACCAAATACATTTTGCTTATTTATTAAAGTAGCCGTCATATGTCTTTCACACTGCTGTTTCAGCTGACCTGTATCCTGGAGATAAATTAGACCCATGTCAGCTTATTCTAACCCAGTAATATCTGATTTTATTTTTGAATTGATCAGTGATCACTTCCAATTTTGCGAGAATGTATTTTACACCAGAGAAAAGTCACACTTACGCACCGTGACAGAGATCTGTTGATACGGATTCAAATATCAACATCTTGCTAAATTTTACATTCAGTAACCTAAACTAGTGCTATAGTTTAATCACTGGAGAAAAAAAGTATAAAGACACGTGAAGTGCTAGTTAAACTTACTTATAAATGAAGTTTCTCCCAAGTAGCCTCTGCGCTTGAGAACAACATCTAGAAATTTGGAGTCTTCATCGATCAAGTAATATTCCTTTTCAAAGGAGATCCACGCCCAGTTCAGCCGAAAATGCTGGTTGGTCAACCTGTTTCCACCTGGAAAATAGGAGTGTAAAACCTTATGTTGCTGTTTTCTTGAGTGAATGGCCTTAAAGAGCCACAGACTATGCAACTTTGAAGAGAATGCTGCTGGATTTAATACACAACTCCAGACCACGTGCTCGGAGGTGGAGTTAACCTGTCAGTGAATGTTACATTCATGGATGCTACAGTCTTTAAGAAATGACTACCTCTTTCAGAATGAGGGGTTGGAAAGCAGAAAGCAGCAGATGGCATTCTGAAGTCAATAAAATCACGAAATAGGGAGAGTGGGTGGATCTAGGAAGAGCTGGGGAATGAATAAGCTCAAAACACCTTGTAAGTTTGTACTCTCAGTTAATGAAACTATTATTTAAAAAAGAATTCACCACAAGGGGCCGCTGGAGAGCAAGCTTCTCTATACAGAAGCCTGCAATGTTCTTAAAGACATACAAAAACTTTCACAAATACCTTTTCTGGTTCACAGAGCAATTGGGTAGAAGGCTTTAATTATAACCACTTAAAGAAAAACAAATATTCCCTCTCCACCCCCTCTGCCCACTAGACTCCACTCCATTCCTTCGAGCAAACAGACAGCCTCTTTCATTGGCTTCCCCTCTCCTCCCACCTTCCCACCAAAATGGAGCTGGCTGCCTCTAGGGAGAAAATGAACCTTGTGCCGATCTCTCTGATGTGAGAGCTACTCTGTTGGGTAAATGAAAGGAGAAACAAACGGTTATCAGCTGATCACTCCACACCTATCCCTCAACTTCTTTTGATCTATGGGATTTATAGGCAAAAGGCATCACTAATTCCTTTTAAGTCTTTGTAAAAAAGAGAAAGGGGTGGGGTGCCTCAATAACAAACACAGCTAAAGGCATAGTTTCAATTCTAGTTTTCCTCTCTTCTGAGTTCACAGAGAAGAGAGCTGCAGCAGAGGAAAAGGAGACTCAAGTCAAGACTCTTGCTGACTGCATGAAAAACTACACAAGGAGAAGCAATCAGGAAAGAAACATATGGTTTGTTTCCTCTAAAAATCTCCTAAGTAAGAACTGCAGAGACTTTCGGGTTATCGCTCACTGAAAACCAGGGGCAATGCTTCAGGCAGTGAGGCTGTGCCAGCAAACTGGTTCTCTTACTGTTTGGCATGGACCTCGGCACCTTGGCCTCTCTGGAAGTTCTACAATGCACGCAAGAGGCCGAAGGATGTTTTATTCCTTGACCCTGTCAGTCTTCCACGGGAGTTTTGCTCCCAAAGAATCCACAATAGATTTGTAGGGACGCCCTGATTGTAACTGTTCCCATCAAGGTCCCAGACCTGAGATACCCAGACTGACTCTATTCTCTGTCACGCCACTGCAAATGTCTCAGCCGCTACACAGCAGCCACAGGAGGAGCTCAAGCTACTCAAGAGTGCTTCTGCTCCATGTGTGCAGCATCCGGGTGGATCCCCAATACTGCCAACGGCTGCACCACACAAAATACAACAGATAGGAAACTCTTCTCGAAGCTTCTAAGACTGTGATGCATGTACTGTGCATTGTGGATGGAGACACATAAAATGTGCTGTCTGCGTGGGGTGATTTTATGCTTCAGGCTGAGGTTATGGACATTTGAGTTTTTTAGTTAATTTCTAGTGTGTTTGTTTCTTACTTGTTTGTTTGCTAGTTTGGATTTTGAGACAGAGTCTCACTGAGTAGTGTAGAGCAGCAGACTTTGAACTCTTACCCCAGTCTCATGAATACAGGTGAACATACCCCTCCATGACTACTTTTTAAATTAATCATTGTAGTATTTAATGTATATAGGTACACACACACACACACACAAATGTGTGTGTGTGTGTGTGTGTGTGTGTGTGTTACCTTGGAACGTGGGTTACAGGTGGTTGTGAGCCACCGTGTGGGTGTTAGAAACACCGCCATGATCTGTTGCTATGCCACAGGCCCTAAGGATGAGGGCCCCTTGTTCACATAAACCAAAGTAGACTGAACTCTTATCATGATGGTTATCTCGGGCACTTTGTTACAGCACGGAAAACCTGATCTGATCTGTTACATAGTTTATGGATAGCTAGAAGAGAGTTTGAAGGCTCTGATATGCGGTAAGGGGAAAGAGATGGAAGCACTAAGTACATAAATTAAGCAGTACTCCTCCTGTACACGGATGGGGAGTGACGCCGCGCCGTCCCTTGCTTAGGAAGAGAAGCATCCAGCCACATCTAACCCCTCATTGCTTTGCACTTGAACTTGGGGCGGGTCTGCACGCTGCCCTCTCACTCTCTAACACCCCTCCCTTTTCTGCTCCTCTCGGCAATGTATATTTCTCCAAACTTGACAGTGTTTATACAGTTTTACAATTCGATCCTCTTTCCTGGACTAGTCCGAGAAACGGTGATCTCTTCTAAATACTGCATGTTGAAGGATCTCAGGTGGTGGAGGTCTCTGTGGTCCTGAATGAATCAGGACACACAGGCAACCCTTAGCACTTGCTAGCCCCTTTGTTGGATTAGTTTTGCTCTGCAATACCTTCCACATAGTCTCATTTCCTAGATGTAGTCGTTTTCTGGCTAATTGTTTTTCTGTCTCTTCCCACTTTAACCCCTGATTTGAAGGCAGGCAGTTAATTTTGCTTATTGTTAGGAAAAAAAAAAAAAAAGGTAACTGAATGGAGTAGGGCTCTACGGCTTTGGTTACAGGAAGGGCCTCATTTACTGGGTCATATGAATTTCTAAGTGTTACCTGTAGCTTTCAGCACTGAATCCTTTAATCTAAAAATAGCATTTTAAAAGACACATCTAAAATGTCTCTCATTTTGGAAAGGGCAGCAAATTATTGGCTCGTCCAGAGTTCTGAACTTCACGTGATCAAACAAATATTTTCACCAGCCCACCCAGAACTTTTGAGATTTCATTCAAAGAAAACCAGAAACAGTATCAGGAGTCTTTGCTTCTATAAGACAATTAAATGGCCCAGGTTAATTGCCATAGTAATTTAGATTTATTATAAAGCTGGGATTTAACTAGAGAACATGAAGTCACACCTGTAAAACCTAAATTTTTTAAGAATTTGTTTATTTATTCAGTTTTCATCCCTGCCATAGACCCTTCTGCTCCTGGACCCACCCTCTTCCCCTCCCCCTCCTCCTCAGAAAAGGGGAGCACCCCTCACCACCAAAGATGGCACATCAAGTTGCATCAGGACTAAGCACATCCTCTTCCCATGAGACCCAGCTCCTTGGAACACATGAGTCATACTTAGGTTTAGAACTCGTAACATTTCAGCGGTTATTTATTGTGTAGGAAGATCCAGGGATCAACAGAACTAAGCTTTGCTGACCTCAGTGATATTTGCTAAGATTATGATCCAGTAAAACTGAACTGTGTTTTACCTGATCAGTGGAAGTTGGCCTTGCTTATTAATTACCACGTAAACACCTCTAGCCTCAGGAAATGGGACTAATACGTGTTAATGCTGTGACTAGGGCTCTGTGGCTGAATGTGAAGTTTTACATGAAATTAGCCAGTTTGCAGATCAGACAGATTTTATTTACACGCGATTGGCTGCCCTTCTGAAGTCAATCCTGCCCTTCTGAAGTCTCAGTGCCTGAGGAGCTGGAAACAAATTAAGGCCCATGGCTTGTGCCATAAATCTGCACAACAGGTGCCTGACAGCTGAAAACCACACTCCCGAAAGCTCTGTCCAGGGAGCCCTGACACGAGGCTATTAAGGTTTGAATGAGAAGGCTCCCTTTGAACTCTTCCAGCTGGCCTTTAGGCTTCTGCAATTTTCTCTTGCAGTTCAAACTCAATAGTTATTTTAGAATAACAAAGAATCCCAGCTCTTCAATGACCCCCTCCCTAGAGAGCTGGGGCTTCCTGATTTCCCTTGAGACAAAGCACACATAATAACCACAACACAGGGAGCCACACCCTGACTTGTGGTGTTGAGGGCCGTTGCCCAAACATGTAGCTTTACTAAGGAATCTTGTCCTTACACAAAAGTTAGTTACAGAGAAAAAAAAAATGTTATTTTCACGTAAATGTCACTTTCCAAGAACAGAGTTCCAGCTGGAGACTCCTCTAGAAGTCAAATGTGCATCTATCAAGAAGTTGCAGCAAAGCTAGATTTAACCTTTCAAATCAAACACTGCAGACAGCTGTTTAAGGCCTGGGGAAGCAGGCGAATAGAGTGCTCAGGAAGAAACAGGTATTTCTATTGGGAAAGATTAAGGTCCTATTATCTGACTTATAGGCAAAGTTGTATGATTTTATTTTTAAGCAAGTTTTTAGATTTCTGTTCTCTAAAAGCACGTCAGATTCAATCGCCACCAAGACCAGGGCTGGTGATTTATGGTTCTGCTTCTGGGAGCTGGTGATTCCAGCTGCGCTTCTGGGAGCTGGTGATTCTGGCTATGCTCACGTAAAGAATTCACTTCGCTGTCATGTCTGTGACAAGATTCATCTCTAGCTTTGCACTGGCCCTGGGCTCTTCCCAGGAGAAACTGGCAGCTTGTAGAACCAGATGCCCCAACCTGTAAAGTCAGGCTGATGTGACTGCTTACTGAGTACTGCCTGGTGCAAATCATCAGCCAACCTGTGTCTTTGGATCCCAGGAGTTGGCCTTCAACTCTGGGGCCTGGTGCACGTGGAGAGATAAAGCACACATGCTTGATACTGATAACTGCCAAGTACCTCAAGTTGCTGCCCTGCAGCTGAGGGGTTTATGAAGGGAAGGGATTACCTTACTGGGAGGGCCAGAGTGGTATTTCAACATCCAGGATGGTAGGAGAGAAGTACTTCTGGATGGAAAATACAGGAAAAAAAGAACTTCAAAGAATTGAGCTTTGTGGGAGCTCAGGCAATTTGCCAATACTAATCTTTACTCTTTTTGCTATTGAAGTCATTGGAAATTAGAAATCTCATTGCTGTAGATGAGGCTCACCCCAAGTTTGACTTGAGGGCAGGATGGTTCATCCTGAGGTGCCTGACACACAGATATGGCCATCTTAGGCTCTGG